GTTAGAATCTTGGCCAAAGCAATTAGGCAAGAAAATGAAATAACACATCAAAATTGAAAGGTAATAAATAAATTAATGCCTTTTTGTAGACCACATAATTCTGTGTAGAGGGGACTTATATATATATATATATATATATGTAGCAATTAATAAATGCAAGATCATTGTACAAAAGTTGGTTGTGTTGCTGCATACCAGCAGTAAACTCTCAGAAGGAGAAATTCAGGAAATAATTTAGTTACAATTATATTAAAAATAATAAAAACATGGGGATAAATTTAACAAGAGGGTAGAAGACTGGTCATGAAAACAACAGGATGATAAAAGAAACCAGAACACAAATAAAAAAGAAAATCCATGATTTGAAGAATTAATATTATAAAAATGTCTGTATTACCCAAAGCAGTATACAGATCAAAATTTAAAAAGCATTTTTATCAGAAAGAGAACAAGCCACCCTAAAATTTGTATGTAACTAAAAAGATCCTGAATACAAGGAAATCTTGAGGAAGAAAAATAAGTCTGGAAAGATATCATATTACCTAACATGATACTTACAAAGTATTAGCTTAAAGACAGACATGGAGTTTAATGAAATGAAGAGCCTATCAATTAATCCATGCATAATAAGGCCAATTAATAGGCGACAAAGGAGGCAAAAATATATTGTGGGGATAACTGGTATTAGGGAAACTGAACAGCCATTGTAAAAGAATAAAACTATCACTCACACCATTCAAATTAAGTCAAGTCAATTAATCTTGAATGTGAGACCTAAACTGTAAAATTTCAGAAGAAAACATACATGGTGAGCAACTTGGTGTTGGCAGTGATTTTTTTTTTTTTTTTGCATGTGAAACCAAAAGCCAAATAATCTAAAAATGTTCTCCATGGCAAAGGAAATTATCACCAATATAAAAAGGCAACATAATGAATGGGAAAAGTTATTTTCAGATTACATATCTGGTGATCTGCTAATACCCAAAATATGTAAAGTACTCATAGAACTCAATAGAAAAAAAAAAAAACATGGTTAAAAATAGGTAGAGGATCTCAATAGATATTTTTTGGTCCCAAAGAAGATATATGGGTGGCCAACAGGCACATATAAAGGTTCTTTTTATTAATCAAAGAGATGTATACAAAACCACAATGGGGTATCACCTCACACCTACTAGAATGACTGTTAGGGAAAAAAAATAACAGTGTTTGCAAGGATATTGAGTAAAAGAAACCCTTCTGTACTTTCTAGGAATGTAAACTAATGCAGCCATGATGATATAATAATAAAACAGTAGAAAGATCACTCAAAAAAATTAGAAGCAGTACTGCCATATGATATACAGTTCCTCTTTCTACTTCTGGGCATCAAAGAGTATAAAAATAGTAACTTGGAAGTGTGTGTGTTTTCATTACAGCATAATTCACAATAGCCAGTAGGAAACAAACTAAGCAACCATCAGTGGATGAATGGATAAAGATGAGATATATGCATATAATGAATGCATATAATGAAATACCAATAGCCATAGGGGAAAAAAAAGACTTTGTTATTTGTGATATGAATGTACCTTAAGGATATTATTCTAAGTGAATTAGATAACAAAAGACGAGTACCAAATGATTTCACTTACGTGTGGAATCTAAAAAAAAACAACTGAACAGAGAATAATTTGTGATTGAGGGAAAATGATTTGGTGTGGAATTGGAAAAGTATGTGTGGGATAGCAAGAATTACGGCCATCTACATATATAATAAATATAGAAATGTAATGTACTGCATGTTGACTGTTGTCAATAATTGAATTATTGTGTAGCTGAAATTATTGTGTTGCCTTGTGAAAAAAGTTTTAAGTTTTCATCACAAACATATACAAATCTCTAACTTTATATGATGACTCATGGCAAGTAGAATTGTATACAAATATTTTATATTTTATACAAAATTATAATTTATACAAATATTATATTTTATGACTGAAGGTCATAAAATGGTATGTGTCAATATTATCTCTATTTAAAACATTTTTTAAGCTTGAAAAATTTGGATTGCATTAAAGTTACTCAGTGGTCCCATATAGTAGTTCTTAGAGTCTTAAAGGTCTGTATTTTCCTGTGTTGAAATTAAATAGAACAAGAATACTCAAAAATACAAGAAATCTAAATGGGAAGCTAGTGTCATAGAAAATATTGAAAGAGGGCCCTCCCTGGTAGTACATCTAGTTAAAGCACAGCACTAGAAGCTAAAGCCACTTCAGCATGAATTTGATCCCTGTCTGCCGGAGGTGCTCCACATGGTCAGACCTCTCCTGACCTACCTGATGCTCCCCTCAGCAGTGTACTTTGCTAATCTGCCTGTTCTGCTCCCCACTCTCTCTGGTGAATCCTCTCATCGCCCCTGTACGTCTGTCCTGTACCCCTGATTTGTATGCACAAATAAATAAATCTTTTAAAAATATATATTGAAAGAATTGTCACAAAATTAATTTGAAGCAAGCATAAATTATGCTTCATATTTGAATTGATGATAGCATTGAGTGTGATTGAATTGATGTGAGGCTTGAGAACCTTGAGATCATAAAATGAGCTATGTTTACATAGTAGACTGTAGAATTTGTTATTTAGTTTATATAGTGTGACAAATAATTTCTCTAATTTTGTTTTCAAGGTAAGTTTGGTGTGCAGCACTCTTAGGATTAGAACTTTATCATTTTGACAAACATATATACCATGCCACACCTACCACCAAAGATCTAATATCATCCATTCAGCTACTTGTAACTTCTTCTCCCACCCCCATCCACTTCCCCTCTTACTCTAGTTGAAAATTCTGTTGTTGGAATCTAATGATTTGGTTTTTTGTTTGTTTTCTTGCTTCCTTTTTTTACATTATATTCCACAAATGAGTAAAATTATACCATACTTGTCTTTCATTCATCATAATCTCAAGATCCATTTACGTTGTCTCCACTGGTAAGATTTCATCTTTTTATGGCTTTTAAGAGTAGTATTCTGTTTACATATAACGCATTTTTTTTCATTCATTCATTTAATAACACAGGTTATTTCCATAAATTGCCTATTGTGAATAATACTCTAGTGAACACCAGGATGCATATATCCATACATACTTTTTTCAGTTTGTGTTTTAATATTTTATAGATAGCTAATTAGAAATATCTAATTGCTGGATTATGTGGTAATTCTGTTTATAATATCTGAGAAACCTTCATACTCTTATCTAGAGTAGCTGCACTGATTTACATTCTCACTAACAATATGAGAGTTACTTTTTCGCCATACCCTCACCCAGACTTGTATCTTTGTGATATAGTCCAATCTCAAAAGTGAAAGACATTTCTTGTTTTTATTTTGATTTCCTTATTTTCACTTATTTCCAATAAGTGATATTGGACATGTTTGTGGTGCCTATCGGCAATCTTCCTTTGAAGATGTGCCTGTTCAGAATCTCCACTCTTTTTAAACAGGTGTTTGTTTGTTTGTTTTGCTGTGGAGTTGCATGCATTATTTTTATGAATATATATTTTGTCCTTTATATATTTTGTATAGCAATCCCTTGTTCAATTTGTGAGTTGTGAACATCTCACAATTATTAGGTGGATTTTTCATTTTTGTGACCTTGAGTAATCCCATTTACTTGTTTTTGCTTTTATTTCCCTTATCATTATAATAAGAGAAATCTATAAGGCCAACTTGGGTGACCTTGTCCCCTGTACTTTCTAAATAGTTTATGGTTCAGGGATTGTAGTCACTTTTTGAATTAGTTTTTGGTATGATGTAAGGTAGTGGTTTAGCTCCATTCTTTCACATTCATAGCCAGTATTTCTAGAACTATTCGATAGATTTTCCTTGTCCCATTGTATGCTCATGACTCCTTTTTCATGAATTAATCATCTATCTGTGTGGGTTTTTTTCAGGTCTGTTAATTCTGCACCATTGATTTGTGTGTGTGTTTTATATAATACTATGCTGTTTTGATGACTAATTTTGTAGTAAATTTGAGTTGTGGAGTGTGTTATTTCCACCTCTGTCATTTCTCAGAATTGTTTATGATTGTTATTACCTCATTTATGGGCTCATATATTTTAGTACTTTCTATTTCTGTGAGAAATGATAATTAGATTTTGATAAGTATTGCATTCAATCTATAGACTGCTTTTAAGAAAATGATTTTAACAATGTTAATTCATCCAAATACATGAATACAGACTATTGTTCCATTTATTTTTGTCTTTTGTTTCTTTTCTCAATATCACAATTTTCACCTATATACAATGTCAGTATACACACAGGTCTTTATTGTGTTAAGATTGTTTCTGGCCATTTTATTCTTTTTCATGCAGTTATAAATTGCTTAAAATTTAACAAATGTAAATTCTTCAGCTATGTTCTAAGCTAAGTCTCTGGATCTCTGTTACCCTTGATCTATTTTTCTTCTTAACAAAAAACATCTTTGTTTTCCATAGTTAGAAGTATGTACTGTCCTCTCAGCTGCAGTTCCCGGGGTTGAGGCACCCAGTGTAGAAGCAAGCCTTTCACTCCTCAGAAAGAGTTATCAGTTCATGATTTCCCTTCCAAAAGTGTGTTGTTCATTTAGCAATTGTGCGTTTGCCTTTCCTACCTTTCTAATGGTATCTTTCTCTTTCAGTTTTCATTGTGGAAAAATTAATCTACCAATCTTCAGTTTTGTTTTTAGATTGCTGCTATACTTGATAAATTTATTATTTCTGATGGGGAAGCTAAGACCAAAGATTTTTCTGCTCTGCCTTCATGAACCAACATTTTCATTTCTCTGCAGTTTTAATACCCCCTAAATAATATATTTTTTGAGCTAATGTATTTTTCTCAAAATTGTTACATGTTTATAGCTTTGTCTCATAAAAAGTTCATATAAACATTTTGGGTACATGTTTTAGGAAGATAATGCAGTAAGACTAGAACCTAACCAAAGCATATGTTATCTTGTTTTTGTCTTCCAGAATCTCTACACAAGGAAGTAGACAATTTGGCCTTTCTAGAAGTTGTTTCCAAGCTTTGCCGTCATGAGAACAAAAGTGTTGCCCAGCAAGCCTCTCTTACAGAGCAAAGACTTACTTTGAAAAGTTGAGAAGTGCCACCCCCTGACATATGGCATCCTCCCATCTCTGTGATTTCCCATTTGTCCTCCATTCAGCTGTCTTTTGCTTCATTCTTTGTCATATCACTTGCGCATGTGTGTAATGGCCCAATGACAACTGAAAAAAAACTACTGTAGGTACCTGCCCACTAAGATCTCTAAATCCATAGTTATTGTGAACATGAATTTATCAAAAAAAATCTCTACATGTAACTGTTCTATTTCATATAACGAACTACAGTAAGTAGAATGTGCATGTTATATTCCTATGATATAAACTTGGTACTACATAATTATTCATTCCTCACACTTGCTGAACTACATAATGTACTGGTAATTTAGAGGAAAATACGAGTTGCAACAGAATCTGTCTAGCATGTTAAAGATGGACGTGAATAGTAAGATTGGCTTCAGTTTTGGGCACTTGGGAAGCATGGTATCAAAAAACAATGGTTGTTCATTCATTTGCTCTTACCTACTAATGTTATACCCTTGGTACCTAGAATTTAATAAAATCCACTGCTCTCTCTTTAACCTGGTTTATTCTGTTTCTAACTATGGTAGTCTTTGAACGTGCCACAAACCTGGCAAGGCTTACTGAGGTTTTTATCTTTATATTTAATAAGTCAATAGCCTGATGTTGAAACCATTTATAATTTCAATATGTAACAAAGGGGTTGAAGAATCTCAATTTTACTAGTACTTATTTTAGCTTTATACAGTTTCACCTTAGAAACAGTTAATCAACATAATCAACATTTCCAACACTTGTCTTTAAAAGTGAAAACAGAGCATTTGTTTTCAACTGAGGAAATAAAACATAACTCATTGGAACATGATTTTTTGTGTGTGTGTGCTGCTTTTCATTATTCAGCTTGATTCATTTCATCTGCCACAGTGCTTTTAAATTTTACATTAAATCTAGTGGTACATAGCAAATAAATAAACAAATATTTATTAAGGGATGTTTGTCCAGACTAAGAAAATGAAGCAGGTACAAAAACCATAGTAACCAGTTCAGTTTATTCTGAAAATGGCCTCATCAGTTTTCTACCTCCATTTTCCATGAAGAATGCAGTGAATTCTTAGAGGATATCAAAAAAGTAACAGCACCAAGACTTAAGACGAGATGAACCCTTTAGCAAAACATGATATACTCTTCACTACCACTACCACCACCAAATAAGTTTCTGACGATTTTAAAGCAATCTTTGTAAATTAGTCAAAGCAGCTCTATGACTTCCCTGCCTTTTCCAATATTCAATTTTAACAAATTCTGGCTGAAACAGTAAAATCAAAAATGAAAGGGCAGCAAGACAGTAGAATGGACTACCAAGAACACAGAAGCTTCCTCTCTAACTCAAGATGCTGCAACTCTCAGGATGTGAACAGTTGGGCTTTCATGTCCAAGAAATGGACTATTACTATGTATGTTTATACACTTACTGTAAGAGTGAGCTAATGTTGCTTACTAGGTTGTTTATGATGAATAATACTATATAAAACTGTAATGAAATCATTTGGTTTATATATTTTACAGTTTCCAGAATGGTGCTTGTTCATTGCTGATACACAATATGTTTTTGATGAGTAATTCCTACTTCTGTGACATTTCCAGACTGCCTGAACTAGTTCTAGATAGACAGACAAGTCTATATTTAGGTAGTTTGTCCATTTTTTTTATAGTATCTGTGCCTTTTGATATAGAAAACCTCAGAACAAGGACATCTAGAAACCATGGATTTGTTAGAAACTATGTTCTGGGCTGATTGCCACAGATAAATTTGTTGATATGCTAGTACCTCATGTCTCCACCCAAACAATTGGCAATACTGATTTGTGTCATTGATTCAAACCAGTGTAAATCACCATTTTGTTTTTCTGTTTGTTTTGTTTTGTTTTGTTTTAGAGAGATGGGAAAGCAACATACCCTTAATATAGTCTGAGTCCACCAAATAAGGTGATGTTTTGCTCTACTGTGAAGTGGTGGCAAATTGCAAACAGTGCTGTCCTACTCCTTAATGTGTTTTACAGACCACAATTTTTTGTTTTGTTTTCTTTTGTTTTTAATTTATTTAAACATATCTATTTAAATCATTGTTAGTTCTCTGCATTTTTTTCATCTCATTTGGACTTTCCACCACCAATCCATCCATGTGTCATCACTATAGTCCTGTGCACTCTTTCCACCCCAGTTTTGGTCCTATTCCCCTATCCACCCCAGTAGAATGTCTGATTTATAGTTGTTCATTATTTTTCATTTTTTACTTTATTACAATTGCTTTTTTTGTTTTTTGTTTTCTCCTGATCCCTTATGCTCCTGCTATGAGTGAAACCATCCACTATTTCTTTTTTTTCTTTCTGCATTACTTCACTAAGTATGATCCATTCAAGTTCCATCCATGTTGCTGCAGAAGGAATGAGTTTATCTTTGTTGATTGTTAAGTAATAAGATACTTCTCCAAAGAGGAAATGCAGTATGAAAAAAAGTTCAACATCACTTGTAATAAGGGAAATGCAAATCAAAACCACAATGATACACCATCTCACACCAGTGAGAATGGCACATCTTAAAACAACTAGCAACAGCAAATGTTTGTGAGGATGTGGGGAAAAAAGGAACTCTTGTATACTGCTGGTGGAAATGCAAACTGGTACAACCACTATGGAAACTGGAGGTTTCTCAAACTGCTACAAATGGAGCTCCCATATGATCCAGGAATTCCACTCCTAGGACCAAAAAAAAAAAAAAATTGATTCAGAAGGACACCTGCACCCCATGTTTATTGCTGCCCTAGAGGATGTGGAATAAATCCGAATGCCCAAAAATCAATGACTGTGATCAAGAAGTTTTGATACATATACACAATGGAATATTACAGACCACAACTTACTTTCTGTTTATTAAGAGTGTATTCTAAGAAAATAGTAAAAGGTATAAATATTAACTTATACTGGAACTAGAACATAAATGAACAGCAAATGTTAGGAATTAAAGGGAAGAAGATATCTAAGCAAAACACATTTGAATGCCAACTCTGCTTCCCTTCTATCCCCATTAACACTGCAGAATCTTGATAAACACCCAGAGTTTAACCTTACTTTGCTAAAGGCAAAATTAAATACCATAATCCTGTGTTTTCCTTGATAAAATTAATTTTTTAGAGATTTATTTATGAATACAAAAACCAGAGGTGCAATTGTGGTGAAAGAATTCACCAGAGACAGAATGGAGAGCAGAACAGGCTGATCACACTGCTGAGGGAAGCAGCAGGCAGGTCAGGGAGGTCTGCCAGCCATGTGGCTCACCTCCCCGTTGGAGGATCAAACTCACACTGAAGTGGCTGTGGCTAGCTTGCAGTGCTGCATCCTTACCAGTTGTGCCAGGAGGGAGGGACCAATAAAAGTAATTTTAATCAAAGTTATATAATAAGAAAAATGGAAATATGGACAAAATTTTTTGGTTCTTCCTTAAATAATTTCCTTCTGCATGGAATCATAGTACAGCTCTTCATTAGTGTGAAGTGCATTGAGAAAACCTGCATGTAAAGATGTCAAAAATAATATTCCTTTGATATCATTGGAAGGCTTGATACCTAATTCTGAACATAAAGGGTAAAGATGACTATGTCCAACTATTAGTAGAATCAGTAAACTTAAAGACCACTGTATGACTTTATAAAACCATAAATGAAATTATGCAAATATCTTAAAAAGTACTTGACATTTGAGTGTGACCAGGAAAACTGAGGGTATTTTTCTTCCAATAACCTTACATTAATACATAAGTAAATGCATGCAATATAGCTTTATAGGTGTATTTTATGGGTGCTGACTGAAATGTGATAAATATTTAAAAATGTGGATGAGTGAGGTCTTTGGTTATATATATTATGAATTCATACATACAGCAAAGTCACATACTGTCTAGGTGTTTTCTAATCAATATAATGACTTCACTAATCTCGACTTCAGAGAGTTTTTGTAGCAGTTGAGACTTTCAGAGGTTAAAGATAAGATTGGAGGGAACTAGGATAACTTATGGCCTAAGCAGCAATCCCTTCTTCACCCTGCAGGTTACCAACTAAAGTGATTCAAAGAACAGCAGCCAACTGAGAAACAGTCTATTTACAGTTTGAGGAAACCCAGTCGTCCTCATTGCAGAGTGCATAACTCCTTGCTTCCTTCTCTCTGAAACTAAAATTGCCAGATCTTCAGTACAGGCCTTAAATTTAGGTACACCCTATAGTGTCTCATTCTCCTCTGTAAAGTGGAAGAAGACTAAGTAGCTCTGTAATATTAACTTTTTTATATTACTATATCAATTTTAACAAAGCTGTGATAGTATTCATTTTCCCCTAAGTGTATAATTAAAATAATCCCTTGTCCCATTTTCAATCCAATTACTATCGGTATATATGAAATATACCTTGAACCCTCTATAGAGTCTCTGAGCCCTCTATAGAGTTTACCTTTAATGGCCTATTTGTCATTATGCTTCTTGACTAAATAGCAAGAGTCATATGTTGGAGGTTTCCAATGTAAATGTATTTCATGAATGGGTATTTACAGTATTTGAAGGGAAAAAAATGTGCCTAGCATGCAATTTATTATTTTCTTCCTTCTCATTTGACATTTAACAGGACATTATTTTATTAGCCTTTATTTTTTCCCAGAATGAAAAAAAAAAAGGAAAAGAAATAAAACTTGTAACCAAACAGAACTTTCGTTTGTTTTTAATAATAGTTTATTGTTACATCATTTTGTGCCTTTTTTGGAAACATCTCAGTTGTAATCCCTGTGGGTTTCCAATCACCAAATCACCTGTGTGCCATCACCATATTCCAGTGCACTCTTCCTTCCCCATTTTGATACCACTCCCCACTTTATGCCAACATTTGTTGTTGCTAGTTGTCTCTGGTATATAGTTGTTCATTATTATTTATTTTCCCCTGGTCCTTTATGCTCCTACTATGAATGAAACCATTGGTATTTTTCTTTTTCTTTCAGGCTTATTCATTAAGCATGATCCCTTCCATGTTCCTGCAAAAGGCATGATTTTATATTTTTGATTGCTGATTAATATTCCATTGTGTATATGCACCACATCTTATTTTTTCAGTTGTTTTGTTTTCTTTTATAAATATAATAGTTGATTTTTACATAATTCTGTGCTTTGTTCCATCTCAATTGTAATCTCCATGGGCTTTACTTCACCAGAACACCCGTGTGCTATCACCATAGTCTAGTGCACTTCCCTGCCCCATTTGATCCTATTCCCCACTCCAACCCATAAAATGTCTCTGATATATAGTTGCTCATAATTATTATTACTTTCCCCCCGGTCCTTTATGTTCCTGCTGTGAGTGAAAACATCCAGCATTTTTCTTTTTCTTTCTGGCTTATTTCACTTAACATGATCCCTTCCAGATCCACCCATGTTGCTGCAAAATGCATGTGTTTATATTTTTGATTGCTGAGTAATATTCCATTGTGAATATGTACCACCTAGTCATATACTTTTGGGCATTTGGGTTGAATCCATATATTTTCTATTGTAAATAAAGCTGCAATAAACATGGGGATGCAGGTGTCTTTTTCAATCAGTGTTTTTGGGTATATACCTAGGAGTGGGATTGCTGGGTCGTAGGGAAGCTCCATGTTTAGCAGTTTGAGGAACCTCCAAACAGTTTTCCATAGTGGTTGTACTAGTTTGCATTCCCACCAGCAATGCAGAGTTCCTTTTTCTCCACATCCTCGCCAACATTTGTTGTTGCTAGTTGTTTGAAGATGTGCCATTCTCCCTGGGGTGAGGTGGCATCTCATTGTGGTTTTAACT